TAATTGGTAAAGAAGAGAGTATATGTAGAGTGACTTCATACCCATTACGATGGCTATTATTAGAAAAATAGAAAATAAGAAGGATTGATGGGGATGCAGAGAAACTGGAACACTCGTGCATTGCTAGTGGGCATGAAAAAGAGTGCAGCCACTACTGGAAAGCAATATGGTGATTCCTTAAACATTAAACATGGAATTTCCCCATGATTCAGCAATTCCAGTGCTGGGTATATACCCAAAGAATTGAGAAAAGCAGGGACTTGAACAGGTATTCGTACACAAATATTCATAGCATTATTCACAGTAGCCAAAAGGTAGAAACAATCCAAATGCCTATCGACATATGAATGAATGAACAAAATGTGGTATTGTATATTCTTATAATGGAATATTATTCAGCTTTAAAAAGGAATGAAATTCTACCGTGGCTGATGTGGCTCAGTTGGTTGGAGAATCGTCCCACAAACTGAAAGGTCATGGGTTCAATTCCTGGTTGGGACACATGCCTAGGCTGTGGGTTCGATCCCCGATAAAGCCGCATATGAGAGGCCACCAATTGATGTTTCTCTTCCTCTCTTCCCCCACTTCCCCTCTCTCTAAAATCAAGAAGCATGTCCTCAGATGAGGATAAAAAAAAGGAATGAAATTCCGATACATTACAGCATGCATGAACCTAGACATTATGCGGAGTGAAACAAGCCACACACAACAGAACAAATAATGTACTTGCATACAAGCATTCCACTTATGAAAGGTACCTACAATAGTCAAATTCAGAGACAGAATGTAGATTGGTGCCTGCTGGGGCTGGGAGGGTGAGTTTGGGGGGCAGTTGTTTAAGGTACATGGAAAAAGTTCTGAAGATAATGGTGCTGATGGTTGTACAACATCAATGTACTCAATGCCATTGAACGCCATACTTAAAATGGTTAAAATGAAAAATTTTGTATTATGCATATTTAACTACAACAAAAAGAAACGCAAAGAAATTATTCAACACCTGCAAAATTATATCACCTTTATCATTGTAGGGAACAGATTATGCCTTTTGTTGAGTAATACAGTAGTTGTATCAGAGGAAGTCGCAAAAGCTCAGTGTGGATTCAGGGAAGGAAATCCCTTCAGGGAAGCTGGAAAGCATGTGGATACAAATGAACAGTCACATTTCAAATGTTTACCTTTTTCTTATGAGTATATACCCTGAATACTAAACAAAGGTACAATTTTCGAAGTTGTGCTCTCACCATCACAAACTGCTCAACACCCGTTCAGGAATCCTGACGGAGCAGCCAGGCGCTGGCTGGAGAAGCAGGGGGACTGGAGTCAGGGGAAGGACAGGATCCAGGGGTCTCCTGCACACACACATCACTTAAGGCTGCGGTCCCCGACCCCTGGGCTGCGGACCGGTACCATTTCATGGCTTGTACGGAATTCCGCTGCGAGGTAAGCTGACCTGAGCTCTGCCTTCAGTCTCCGCCCCACCCCCTCCGCAGCAGGGGCAATCCCGCCCCGACCACCCGCCCCCGCCTTCCATGAAACAGGTCTCTGGTGCCAAAAAGGTTGGGGACCGCTGACCTAGGGCTCTACACTGGTCAGGGCTCTATTTTCTTTGAGTATGAAGTCCTATGCAAAACTTCGAACAAAGCCATTAAAAATGAAAACACACTAGATAAAGACCTGGTGATTCAATACAGTACAGAAAACCTTTTAAAGTGGGTTTTAACATGTTGCAATCAACCAACTGTCTAAATTCTGGACTATGGGAAATTCATATTCATATTTAACAAGTTTATTTTGTAAAAATATTCCTCTGCAAGATGAGAAATGTTACCTAATAATGGAGAAAAAATTAGAATAGCACTTGAAATATTTAAACCTGATTTTCTCTGTATTTTTACTTTAAACATCACTTTGTAATAAGCATGTGTGCTAACAGATCTTTACGCTACTGATTTCCTCCTGCCTGAGGCTTTTCCAGAGGCTCTCTTCTCCACATCCCTCCTTTAGGTACTCAAGAAGACTCCTTTCCTCCAGGGAGCTCTTGGACTTGACTTCTAGGTTGTTTGGTGCTACTGCCCAGTGTCACCATAGACCCCTGTACTTCTCCATCGCTGCGTATGTACTTGACCGACCATCCTCCACTCCCTATCAGATTATCTGACCCACAGGGTAGGAGACTGCTGGAGCACCCCCCAGGCCCTAGAAGAACACTTTGCATAGAATGGGTTCCCAATGAATGATGAAGATTTTTTAGCAAGGAAAGATGTTCTTGATGTTCTGTTAGCTGTCAAAATTGGGTTACAGGTCAGGGAAAAATCAGTCCCTTTTTATACAATGTATGATTGTTTATCATTCCTTTCACCTGACTTTTAACATTTTTCTACAGTGAATAAGTATCACCTGCATAATTTCAAAAATAAAGTTACCAGAGCAAACACAAGGAGAAATGACTATCAAAATCATTACCAATAACATCTGTTAATGGCATCAGTTCAGAAACAAGTGAACTTTTTTCCCCTTAAACTGAGGATCACTGTAACATTAAAAGCATTTGGTAAATATATATGAACTTTGGGGGAAAGAAGAAAGTTTCATTTGTTCTAATCAATTTACTCCTCTTGGCTCCAACAATCCAACATCCTACCGCTTCCATTAAAATAAACTTTTGGGAAAGAATCATTCAACTGAGTGGTTCGTGGTACTAAAGCTTAAATTTAAGTTGCTCTCCTGTTTGGAGATGCTGCACGAGGGAATCAGAAGCAATTGGAGAAACAGAGACTGACTGGACAGGCGTGGGGGTCAGACACTAGTGGCCACTCCTCGAAGTCACCCTTCAGGCCACAGGCCCCAGGCCTGGGCACAGGCGGGGTCAGAGCTGCATCTCGTGTACACGAAGGAAAGCCATCGCTGGTTGGGACGGTGCGGCTCACCTAAGGGTGGTTCTCTCCCCGCCCCGGGATACCGAGAGATCTGCCAACGTCCCCCACCAATCCACCCTGTCAGCTCCCCAGAGGCTCGCACGACCAAGCAGCCCTCAGTAGGACCTGAACCGCGCCTGAGGTGGCCATCACCTCGTAACCTCAACCCGCAGGGGGCAGCGGGAGATCAGCCAAGACCGGATTTCCGGACGAAAATAACTTAGGAGGCCGCTGGACCCGGTCTTGCGCCTGGTCGTAGCCCTCTTCCCGGCCCCACCGCCGAGGCACCCCCCGACCCCGCTTCGTTGTCGCTGTCCTCCAGACTCCCGGCCATCGGACTTCTCCCTTCTCCCACCCCTCACCCTCGGCCCCCAGCGCCCTTTCCCTAAGCGGCTCTCACCTACCCGGGACCAAGGCGCCGCCGCGCGTTGCCGGGACAACGGCTGCTCGCCGAACGCGGAAACAGCCGAGGTGAGCAACGCGAACGCCGAGGCCACCCGAAGCTCCACGAGGGGCCGGAAAGAGCCGAAAATGATCGGGAACGTTCGTGACGCGCAGAGGGCTAGATTTCCCCCGCGTATTCCCTCCCCTGGCGAGCGCCACTGTCTTGCAAGACAGTTTTTCGGCACCCCAGCCGTGGTCAGGAATCAGCAACGCTAGCTCGGAAAGGGGGGCCAACAGGCGCGAGTATGCCGTTCTGGGCAGAGAAGGGAACTGCGAAATTCTAGGGGTGACGGCGATGTAGTCTGTTGGGACCTGCTGCCATAGTTACGCCTTTCCAACCGCGTAGTCAGAAGGTCGAGGAAGGCAGCAGCGACTGCGGGGGAGGAACGGAACGCCATCTTCTTCAAGAGTATTCTCTTGTTAAACTTATTGCTGCGTCTTCTGTACCCAAGACCGTTTCTAGGCTCTACTTCGTCTGATCTCAAGGAAGAGGAGGTGGTTCAAAAGTATTTTTGAGAAAAGGCAATTGAGTAGACATATACTTACTTGAAGTTACTGGATAATTGATCACATGCGTTCAATGCGCCATTTGGATGCCTTTGGCGAGAAAATGTCAGCCAACGACACGGGTTCATCCCATCCAGTAGAAACGAATCTCATCTCTAGGGGCAGCATGCATTCCCAGAAGCATTAACAACTTGCGCTCTGCCCTTAACGGTCAGGGGTAAACTAACTTTGAAAAACAAAGCAATCTCATATTAAAAAAAAGTTACTGAGCAAAAAGGCCCACATTGTTAAACAACTGAAAAAAAAAAAGGAAAACGTAGATACCACTCGATGAGGCAGGATAGGAGCCTACAAAGAATATTCTGTTTTTTAAAACCCCGCTTTCATAAGCAATTTTTAAAGAATTTGACTTGTAATATAGTGTAAACTTAAGTTGTACAGTGATGTTGCTTCGATACATTTCTATAGTGTAATAAGATTGCCCATATAGCTTATTTATCACATTACTAATTGCAGCACACTCTTGTCTGTATTCATTGTACTGTGCATTATATTTCTATGGTTTACTTACTACTCCCTACAAGTTTGTAACCGTAAACACCATCACTCTTACTTCTCCCCCGCCCCAACACACAGATAAATACTAGGATGAAGAAAAAGGACCTAAGTGATTAGCACCATTCGCTACGCCAAAAATCTTCAAAAGCACACACTCAACCCAATACGATGGGCGTTTATGTGCCTCAGACGCACTTCTATACTTTTTTTTTCGCGCCGGATTCAACACTTGGAGCTGAGGCGGCGTTTTCTTCTCACGCATCCGTCATACAGCTCCGACCAATCACAGCCAGGGCGCTGACTCTATTGGCTATTGACCCGACCAATCCGGAGAGACGCACCAACCGCAAAGTCGCGAGGTAGCGTCACAACATTACTCGCGTCGTAGACAACCCTCCCGCCCCCGCCCAGCGTCTGGGCGTGCGAGCGCGCGCGCGCACAGCTGGCCAATGGGAGCGCTCTTGAAGAGGGCACCCGCTGAAAATTTCGGACGTGCTCGTCCTCGCGCGCGTCGCCCCTCCCAGCTCCGCGCGCCCGCCTCCCTGTCCCGCCCCGCGCTCCGCCCCTGCAGCCTCCGCCGGCCGCCGTAGCCGGAACTGCTGAGCGCGGCTGGCCGGGTCTCCGGGAGGCTGAGGGGCGGCAGCACTGGCTCCCGCAGCCCAGTCAGCCGCACCCCGGCTGCGGAGGGGACGTGCCGGGGCGAGCGTCACCCGGTGACCGTTTCCGAAGCGGGAGCGCCATACCAGCGTCGCGGACTCGCTGCAGCCGGCGCTCCGGACCCGGGGCTGCCCCGCCCGGCCGGATCTGAAGGCGCCGGGGAGGCCCCCGGGGGGCTGGGGAAGCCAAGGTGCTGCGAGGCATTGATGAAAAAGGTAACTGGGGGCTGGGGTTCGAAAGGGGTAGGCCACAGCGACCGGCTGTTGTAGCGAGGCCGAGCTCCCCGCTGGATCGGAGCTGCGGGGAAGCGGCCTGCGACCTTGCTGCGGTGGTTACGCGCGCGGTGCTTTGTCGGAGCGACTGGGACCGAAAAGTGTTGTGTTGACAGCGCACTTTGTGTGCAGCCAGGAATCGGCCCCAGAAGGGAGAATTTTGCTTCTCCTAACCGAAACGTGACAGTGTCGAACAGAGATTGAGGCTGAGGTGATTCCACCTCTGCGCACGTTCTGGAAGTAATGCTGGAAGTTTCAGTAAGGTTTCCATTATCGTGTTTTCCTTTAATCTTAGAGGAAAACTCTGAAATGTGTTCATACCCTTTAATTCTGAAAAGCTGTGTCCTTCTATGTTCAGTTTAGTGTCTAACATTCAGCCTGGCAAACGGGCTCATTATTATGTTGTGGCCGATGTATGCTTTGCCTGAGCCCTGGGTTGACTGTGGGTAGCTTTGGGATGATAGGCCCCTGGGAAGTAGGGTTCTCCACATTACACAGCGGAAAAAGGTTCTTTGGTATACTTTCAACTTTCTAAAGTACAAATGGATAAGTTGAGACATGAATAGTGAGAAGTTCTATGTAATGAAGTTCTTTAAGTTTGGTTATCTTGTGTGGTTCTATTTCTTGGCGGTGTGTTTTTGTTTTTGTTTTAACTACACCTAGTTGAAATGATAATACAACAGATGAAAACTGTTTAGATATTATTTTGTGACAATACATCACAGCAGTAGTAGGTATTACTATGACTTTTACTCATTTCCAAACCTTTCTATGAGAGGTCCTTGCTTGCCCTTGTTACTGTATTTTATTAGTCTTGATGCCTTGTTCTCATTTTCATTTTAATAGAATGGAAATGTTCCTGGCTTCAGTTGTTTTGAGCTTGTCAAACACAGTTTGGGCATAGTAGCATCAACACCTGTTGAGGAACCTAACATTTATCTTTATTGCTACATCGCATGTACACATTACTATTTCTGGGTATTATGTTGATAGGTGCCTGATTATCTCCGTTTGTTTTTGAGTGGGTCTGCGTCTTCGGTTGCATTTTCAGAGTCATCACATTTTGTTCTTGACATTTCACACAGCAGTGGGGAGTAAAGTTAATGCAAGAATTTTATTAATGGATACGGAGAGTTTTAACACAATTCCCTTCTACCCATTCTTGCATTTGGACCTGGACATACTGTGCTGTCCCTTTCATGGGTGGATCCAACCTGTTCCGTGCAACATGCTCCTTTGTTGCAAAAAAACCAAAAAAACATTTTAAAACCGTAAATCCCCGCAACAGTACACATGTCCCACCTGGGAAGCAAGAGTCCCAGAAACCCTGAGCTTATTTTTCTTTATGTCTGTTTAAAAATAAGCAGGCGGACAGGCAGCCGCGGGCCACTATGGAGTTCACTGTGCACGCAGGTGAGCCCGCGCCTCTCCCCTGTCGGGGTGGATCCGGGCCCCTCTCCCCGCTCCGGAGCCAACTTTGGGGGCCGGCGTGCGGGGCAGGTGCGCTGGCCAGGTGCCATGCTCCTTTTGGGGGGCGAGAAGGGGTGGAGTCGCGGGGCCAGGGCGCCGAGGCCCGGCCGGCCCAGGCAACCAAGGGAGGGAGGCCGGCTTGCAGTCTACTCGCCTCGCAGGCCGTGAGCCGCGGCCCCGCTGGGTAAGTGGCTTCGGGCTGTGACGCTGGGACCCAAGAACCCTAACCTCGCCCCGCAGGGCCCCGCATCCCTTTCGACCCCGACGGGTTGGGGCGCCGTGAAGGCATGGCCTTCTGGGCGCGGCTACCGAGCTGCCGCCCGCCGCCCCTGGTGCCTCCGTGTCCTAGGCCACGGGGTCTGGGTAGGGGTCTGGGACAGGGTTCGGGGTCTGGGGCGGCAGACTCGGCCTGCTGGCTGCGGGCGGGCCGTGGGAGGACCTGGAACAAACAACGGCGGCCATGTTGAGAGGGAGGCGGGCGGCTAAACTTCGCGGCGGCTCCGGGCTGTGCCGACCTCACCAGGGCCCCTCTCCTCTCCCGCAGGATGACAGTGAAGTTGGGAGACGGCGGCAGCGGGGAGGAAGGGCTCAAGAGGCTGGGCAAGAGGGCGGCCGATGAGGACGCACTGGAGGGAGAGGGGGCCGGCGGCGGGGACGCGGCCGAGGACAGCGGTGGCACAAAGAGGGACAGCAAGACCCCCCGAGGCGGCGGTCCCCCGGCCCCCGAGGGCGGCCCACAGGCCCCGTCCCCACCGCCCTCGTGCCCGCAGGACCAGCACCACTTCCTACGGTCCAGCGTGAGGCCGCAGAGCAAAAGGCTCAGGAAGGATTCGTCAGGCGCCGGGGGGAGCAGCAGCGCCAGCAGCTCTGGGCCTCGCGGAAAAGGTACGGGGGACCCCAGCCCCTTCCCAGGGTGTGCCGTGTGCTCACCTTTGGGTCTCCACTGCAACTCCTGACCCCACTCCCGCATTTGTTCCACATTTGGGGTTGCACTCTTGGAGGGGACGTGCTCTTTTTCTTCCCCAAAGAGGCTGCTTTCCTATGTTTAAAAAACTATGCTAAAAGGCAGTAAGTATCCTTTCTTTGAGCAAGTATAATAGATTCCTGAAGGTTGGTTTTTTTCCTCTCGAAGGATCATTGATGATTTAGGCTATTTTGTACAGCAGACAATAGTTTAGAAATGGAGAGAGAAAATACCTGCGGTATCTTTGCTCAATGTCAGATGGTGGAAATACAACAAAGGAATGGGCTTTAGAAACGCATTTGGGGGAAGATTGATAAGCCAAAAATATCCTAGGGTCTGATTTGGGCACTTCACATTCTACTTCAAGTATTCTAGGCTCAAAAGTTATTAAGGGCTTCAAGATGAGGTTTCAGTGCCATGGAAAGTATCTCTTGTAGGGTAGTAGGTAGTAAAAACATTTGTAGCCTGATGTAAAAGAACAACAGCCTACAGTGTTTGTCATGGTATTCTGAGGTGATTGAGAATATTACAGCTTTTCTGGGGCCCCTTCCAAAATAGTAAGAAAACCACGTGTCAGTTTTGTTCCTAATGTACTAGTTTTCCATTGTTTTCTGCTTTTATCTGTTTCTACTTGAGCATTTTGCTTTTCCTTAACTGTACAAGTGAATTGCTCTTAACATCTTTTTTATTTCAGGTCAAGTTTGTAGCACTTTGTTAGATAGCAAATGTAACAAATTTCCAGTGAGTTTTGCATGAAAAAACTTAGCTCCTTGGGAAATGGTCCTTTAAATTTATTAGATGGTCTTGATAGTTTTAAAAAAGAAAATATTTTGGATGCTAACAGAGAACCCATTTTGGAGATCTCTGTTAAAAGTATATCATTAAAATTGCTTTTTCTGTCTCATTCGCAACTGAGGAAGACTGGCTTCTGACATCATGGCCTTACTCATTTTTTTGGTAAAGAATTTTGATGTAAGTACTTACGATGTAAGTATAAGGTAGTTTAGTATATTTCAGAAACTAAAACTAGCCCGATAAATTTATTTTGGATGTGATAGTTGCTGAGTGATTAAGAAAATATTAATTTGTTTGTTTTATAAAGAATAGTTTTTCATTCCTAGTTACAAGTGTGTCTTAAGTTATCAAATGTAAGCACCTGGGGTGCTCCTGAGAGTTCGTTTGTGACTTCAGAAACCCTGAATCTGGAATTCAGTCAAAGTGTACAGCTTTGTCACCCTAGCCCGCTGGCCTTGGTCTGTGCACTTGACCTCTTGCTTATGCTTTTTCATCAGAGGCTTCCTCACCTGTGTAATGAGGAACAGCAGTGACTGCTCCACTCTCTGAAGTATGGCAGCTAAGATGAGATGGGGTGCTGATGTGAAAGCACTCTCACCTGTAAATGGCTACCTATATGTGAGATGCTAAAACTTGAGTGGTCAGTTACATTTCTTACAGTCAGGTAATTAGGGGAAGTTTGCTTTCACTTGAATAGTTGAGTATGACTTGCTTAGAGGGAAAAGGTTTCCTGGATTAGCCACCAATCAGGTTCTTGGTGCTTCTGTTTTTAGTTCCTGCCTCCAGTGTGTGGCTTGGAGCAGCAATTGACTTTCTGTTAGTAAAGTAGAAATTTGTTAGAATTTGTGCTTCTTGTGACTTAGGCATTTTCTTAGCAAGAAAATATTTCTTTAAGTAAATAATAAAGTTAAACTGTAATGGTGGCTTTGAGGAGAGGAGCAGAAAGTGTGTCTCTTTTTCTTCACAGAATTTCTCAGCCAGCATCTGGCCTTTAGCGCCACTTGACTGTGCTCTGAAAGAGGAGCAGAAAGTGTGTCTCTTTTTCTTCACAGAATTTCTCAGCCAGCATCTGGCCTTTAGCGCCACGTGACTGTGCTCTAACTTGGGCTACCAGGATCCTTGGGATGCACTCCTCCACACCCAGGACCCCAGAATGTCCCCCTCCTCATGCCTCAGAACAACCTTTGCTCCCTTGGCATCTTCATTAACAGCCAGGAAAGAAAGTCATGTGAGAGCATGCACCTAACCTTTGAAAAGTGTTTTTAGAGTAGCATTTGTCTTCCAATTGGGGTGGTGAGCATAGATCAGTAAAGAAATGAACACTATAGCAAGTCCTCAAATTCCATCCTTGTTATAATGGTGATGAGATGCCCTTGGAACTTCACTCTCGCTTATATCAATCAGCTTGTGGTAAAATTGGTTTCATTATTCATCATTTTGCTTAAAGTTGCTGAACTTATCAATGATGTTAAGTGAGGACTTCTGTACTGGCATTTTTAGTTTTTCTCTTCAGAAAAATATAGTTTTCATTAGGCTTAAGTAATAATCACAGTCCAATCATTGGAGGTTCCTTTGGTTGATTACGTACTGCTCTTGCCAGTTTTAGTCTAAAGGGATATGAGAAACTTGCAGTGAGTTGGGAGTAGAGTGGAGAGAGGGAAGTCCTCCTTGTTTTGTTTCTGTCCACATATTGTGACTTCTTTCTCTATAACAACAGACTCTTTTGTCAACTTCAATAAAAAATAATTTTTATCTAGAATAATTTGAATTCGTTTTGAATTGATAAAAGGAAAGTAACTAAGATTTAGAACCTATGTGCCAGGCATTTTGCATCTCTGTTACTTTACCATTAAGCAGGTGCAGAAACTGAAGTTTGTTGTTAAAATAATGTGCTTAACCTAAACAGAAGGTAAGCTGCAGATGAGAAACCAGTGGATCTGCTTGATGCCAAAACAAATGTTCCTGCAGACCTGCCATGCTGCCCAGAGTGACTGGAGGACGCATTTGAGACTGAAACCCAGAATTCACAGATCTGTGAGAACGTGGGCCAGCAGACAGAGCCCACGCTGCCCATCCCTCCTTGACAGTTCAATTCTGGGTGAACTAGTGTATCTCAATTTCTTTGTCTATAAATGAGTATAGTATCAGTGCCTGGCTCAGCATAGTAAATACTGCAGTGAGGCCCTGAAGCCTGTGCTCAATGGACTCCCAGTGCTCCTCTGTGTGAAATGTGCCTGGCTTTGAAGTCTGGGACTATAGGCTGAACCTGGGCTGGTGGACAGGCGAGGGGGAGGACCTCTGGGGAGGTAGTGGGTAGGGGTTCCCAGGAATGCCGCCAATCTGCTGCCCTGTCAGGACAGTGGGGCTGAAGGGGTGCCAGACCCTTTGTTTTCACTGTGTCACAGGCCCTCTCTCCCCTCCTTCCCCTGAACTTGCGTTCCACTTCTCATGGGAATTAGTCACAAAATGCACCATTTCTACAGTTGGGCCATGTTTGACTGACTGTGCTTCTGCTTAAGAGTCAGTCAATCACTGTATAGAACTTACATTTTGTATAATCTTTTGGCTGTCTGCAGCTTCTAGGTAGCTTTTTTTAAAAGCTATCTTATAAAGTATCTCACCCTTATTTGGTCAACTTTTGAGAGACTGAAATCATAAGAAAGAGAGGTTCGAACCAGCAGTCGGAAGGATCAGCCTCTCTCCACAGAGCTGCGGAATGGCTGGGTTAGCTGTGGGGCAAAGGAAAAGTTCCTCAACATGCCCAAACCTTAGGTTCCTTACTTACAAAATGGGTCTGGTAAGATAGTGGTTTAAAGTTGTGTTCACCTTAACACTCAGGGATGAAGAAGTCCATTGTGCAGAATGGATTTGGATCCTGTATGTCTTCTCAGGAGAGTGTTGTAGGAGGGAGATTGCCTGAAATCAGAATAGTTCTATATCTCATGGGCTCTGCTTAGCCTTGCCTCTTGAGAGCACTGGGCAGGGTATGGCCAGAGCGCATACTCCTCCCTTCAGGTGTGGAACTGCCTGATGTGCTTGGTGCAGCTCTACCTCTTGTCTGTACTGCCTTCACTTTCATTGTCCTTTCATCAAGGCACAGGGGCCAGCCCTGGGCAGCTGGTTAGAGTATGGCTGTGCATACTGCAAAGTTCCTGCCCTCCATACTCTTCTGGGGGAGGAGGACACATCAGATGGTCGCCAGAGCACTGTGGTTCTTCTTTCCAGTTCACTTCAGTAAGTAACATTTAATAAAGTCAAGTGCAATGATGACTGCATGGAGCCACCATGGCTGCCTGGGCAGGAATGTCAAGCTTTGCTGAAAGGTGTCAGACCTCACTGGGAGAGGAGGAGGAAGGGGAGAAGTTCCCCTGACTCCGTCCAGTGCACAGCGGCACACCCCACAGTAACCCTTATACACGGTCCTATTGTGACATTCACTCCCTCTGCATAGTAGCTCAGGAAACCTACTATGTGTGGTCTAGGCCACTTCAAAGATGGGTCATGATGAAGCTGTGCAGGACACAGGAAAAGTCTGTAAACCAGAGGTTTGAGGTAAATTAGTAAGTTATACAGATTGCATTTGCTTTACATGATAGATGTGGATACATATAGGTGAGTAGATGAAGTAACATTTGAATATTGGTTTGAAGGCTGAGCTAAATTTTCTTTGGAGCTTTTATGTCAAAATTAAAACCATGTTGGCTTTTAATTTAAACTAATGTCATTTCTGTGGTGCCTGGCTGTCTTTGGAATTATCTTTTGCCAACCAAATATACTTCAGGATTTTCATTTTATGTGGTACAGTTGTATCTTTTTTTTATATTATATGAAGGTACAAAAATAACAGTAATGATTTCAGATAGTAAAGTCAAAAATGTAAAAATTAGCTTTGTGCATAGAAGATGGTGGTACATAGAAGCATTTTATCATGTTAAGTAAATGCAGTGTTCTTAGCACTGGAGAACAGTGTGAGAAATGCCAAAAAAAAAAAAAAAAAAGGAAGAAAAAAAAAGACATTCCCAGGTATTTGTGGTTTGGGTGAGATATCAATATCAAGAATTACCTATAAGAAGAGGACATATGTTCTAATAGAAACAGTGGGGTTTCAGTTGTATTTTTCTCAAAT